TCTGGGGCACCTGGAGAAGGCGGTGGTTCTGGAGCTTACCTTGAAGCACGTGAAGGCGCTGACCAACCTCATTGAGCAGCAGCAGCAGAAGATAATTGCCCTGCAGAACGGCTTACAAGCCGGTGAGTGTTCAAAGCCCAGCGAGCGAGAACCTGCCCGCGCGCCCTGGACTCTCTTTCCCAGCCCGCGCCGTGCCCTGGTGGCACTTGGTCCCAGGGCAGGGAGGAGGAGGAGGAGGAGGAGGAAGGAGTTCTTTCTTTTAATCGCCTTCCTCTTCCCTCACTCTGCTCATGAGTCCTCAGGAGAAAGACGCTTTTCGTTTCTTAGTTCGGTCAGTTCAGAGCGCGCTGAGAGTTTTGTTTTAAAATTCATTTGAACGTTACTAGTTTTATTTAAAGCTCGGTTTTGCTTAAGGTTCTCTCCGAAGGCATCCGAGCCTTTCTATTGGTGTTTAGGAGCTTTGGACCAAATCCGTTTTTTTTTTTCCCTCCTCAAAAATATGAAAGCATTTGCCTTTTTTTGCCCCCCCCTTTTTTTTTTTTTTTTAGGCTTCTTTTTAAACTGATCAGCCCGTGTTGCTGTCGGCTAAGAGGGGGCCAGGTCTAGCGGCTTATTGTGCTTTAAATGTACTTCCTTCTCCTGTTTTCACACGTGGCACTCACGTGAATCTGATAAAGTAAAATTTAGCTGTTCTAAAGAGATTTCCACTGCTTTAATAGCCACGGGGTGTGCGATCGAGCTTTAAGCCAAGGTCCTATAGCTGAAGCAAAACGGCCCTCGGTTCCTGGAGCTGAAGGAGGGTGAGCTTGCTGCAAGCGCTCCCTTCCTGGTGGGAAGGAAGCGGGTTGCAAACTGGCTTTCAAACCGCTTCTTCCCTGCGGAGGTACCAGGTTGATTCACTGCTGTTTCTCCATACCTGCACCCGTGTTACAGTTGCCACGTACAGGAGACCTAGAAATAAAAAACAAATTTGAAATTCACATCCAAAAGTGGACGGGTGGATGTAAGAAGAAACAACGTATGCCTGTACAGAAATCAGGGGAGCGCGTGTAAAACACGGTTTGACCCTCAGGTTCGCCTGTTCAGCTGTTTTGTAGCAGCGGAGGTGAAGCCCTTCTCTCCAGGGTGCCTCGAAGATGGGAATGGACCTATTTAGCACGTTGTTAATTTTTAATTTCTTTCTGCTAACGTTTCCTCAGGTGACCTGTCATCAAGAAACCTCGATTCCAGCCAGGAAATGTTTCGATCCGGTTTCCAGATGTGCGCCAAGGAGATGCTGCAATACCTGGCAAAGCACGAGAACGGCAAGGACCTGAAGTCTTCTCAGCTGGTCGGCCATCTGCACCGAATGGCCTCCGAGGTGCTCCAGGGCGGAGCCGGCCGAAAAGCCGCAGACATCCCTCCGAAAACAGTGGACTCGAAGGAGAAGTCTGGCTCCTTGACCAGAGCGGCCGAGGGACATGGCAAAAACTGCGTGCCGGTGATACAGAGGACATTCGCTCCTTCCAGCGGCGAGCAGAGCGGCAGCGACACCGACACAGACAGCGGCTATGGGGGAGAGCTGGAGAAAAGTGACTCCAAATCCGAGCAGCAGTATTTAAAAAAGGATACGGAACTCAAATATACTGTCCAGGAGAGAATAAGCTCTATTAAGCAAGAGACTGAGGACCCACCAGCCAAAAGGACCAGGATGGAAACTTCCGAAGACGAAGGCCCTTTTAGCAGTGACGTGATGGGCTCTGCAAGTAGCTTTCTGGGCCCTCACGCGCACCAGCCTCCTTTGTGCCTGCCTTTCTATTTGATCCCGCCGTCTGCCACAGCCTATCTGCCGATGCTGGAGAAGTGCTGGTACCCGGCGTCCGTTCCCGTTTTGTACCCCAGTCTCCCGGCCTCCGCTGCAGCACTTACAGGGTTTATGAACCCCGATAAAATCTCCCCGCCTCTGCTGAGGCCCCAGAGGCTCCCGTCGCCGGTACCAGCCCACTCCCCTATCGACTCCTCAGCGCTGCTTCAGGCTCTGAAGCAGATCCCTCCTTTGAACTTGGAAACCAAAGACTAAGCGCAGTGTGACTTCTTCCTTTTTTTTTTTTTTTTAAAGTTTGAGACTGTTTCACCTTTATATATTGGCTGGACTAAGGTGTGGGGATAAGGTTCACAGCGCATAGGAAGCTAAATCCCCTTTTCTCTGACTTGTCGGGTAGCTCGGAGGAGGATGAAGGATGCACCTAGGTTAGCTCTTCAGAAGTATTTCCAAAAGGAAAAACAAAACAACAACCAAAAAAAAAAACAAAAAAAGGGTTTTGTGCTTTGCTCCTTAACCTCCTTCCCTCTCCGCGTCTACAGAACGGCAGTCGACCGAGTCAGCTAGGATTTTATTTCAAAGCTGTGAAAAATACTCCATTAGGCAGATTTAGACTTTTAGGGTGCGTGAATCTAAAAATACGGTACTTCTTCTAAGGGCTG